GAGTACCGGACAAATTGGCATCATTGATTGACAGAGCAAGGCCCTTGTCTTTTGTTGCATTTTATTTTTATTTTTATCATTTGGGGTATATATATAGGGCAAAAGCAGAGTAATAGGGGAGGTTGGTTGATTTTGGGTCTCTTTGTTGGGGAGTTTCGTCTGAGTTTTTGAGAGCAATAGAAGGGGATTTACTGGAGAAGAAACGGGGCAACAACGGTGGTTGAGAGGAAGGATCACTGAGCTTCCAGAGGAGCTTCATTTTCTGGTTTCATTTTCTGGGTTTCATTGCCTTAGGTAATTTCTGAACAGAGGAATTTTTGGGAGAGCCGTGAGGGAGAAGAAGGGAGCTTGATCCCGTGGGTGGGATCCCTCCCTTCAGATCTCAATCTGCTTTTTTCCAGAAATTTCACCTTGTTTGATTCTGATTCTCATAGAGTTTTGCTTTATTAAAATTGTACTAGATGATGATACTGCAAATGAAATCAAGCATGTTTGTTGAATTTCATGGATCCGAATTGGAATGGATGTTTACTTGCTTTCTTTGTTCTGTTCTTTGTTCTGTTCTGTTGGATGACCGAACAGAAATTCCAGATCCTTTCTGTTTCTGCCCAGATTTCATTTTGGTCTAGCTTTTAATCTGTTTTTGCCCACTTTGGTTGGTGGGTTCATGTTTTTGGATGGATCAACCTGACCCAATCCAGTATGTCTGTCATAAAAAAAAAGAAACTAAAAAGGTTAAAAAGTAAAAAAAATCAAAAGTTGTCTCTTTTATTTCAATTTTGCACAATCCTTTCATGTTTAAGCACGTTAGTCCAAAAGTTTTAAACTTTTTCAAATCAGTCCTCTATTTTTTTTTATTTTAATCAAATCAGTCCATTTAAATTTTATTTGTGTTTATTGTGCATGCATGTTCTTGATTGTCTATTTCAGTCCAAAAATTAAAAAAAAAAATGTTTTGATTCGGTTTATCTCTTTTTTTAAGTTTGCTTTTTAAGACTCAAACATAAATATAATAAATAAGTTGAATTAAAATCTCAATTTTAAAGTATGCAACTGTGTTTAAACGGAGGATTGTGAGGTGTGCGTATGCCCTTCCTCACTCCTAACCGAACCTCCGAACCCCGATCTTTACGCAGACCCGTTTTAGGTGACTTGTCCCACCTTATAATTTGGACGAGTGGTGACTCCCTTTTCTTTTATATTTTTCACACTTGATTTTTCATTTGTTTTGAAAAAAATCTAAAGTGGTCGTCAACATTGTCATATTGTCTTCCACGTTTATTAATATTTGACATGTCATCTTGTAACCATGAAGTAACAGGTCATGTCACAAGATTTTTAACGGAAAGACCAAATCGGGGTAAAAATGACAAACAATAAGAACTAAATCGGGGATTTTTTAGTTTAGGGATCAAATTGGGGGTTCGTACAATAGTTCAAAGACCAAAATAAGGTTTTAACCTAATAAATAATATTGGTTGTAAATAATTTCTTCAAAGGTTTCTTTGGGCTAGTGGCAAAAATTTAGGTCCAATGAATTGATTAGGTGAAGCGTTCTGGCCCCATTGGTGAATTTTGGTTATTTAGAACTTTGTCCTACACCTTGAACCGGTCAGTAAGCTGGTTCACTGCTTTACTAAATTTCCC